TAGGCAAGGCTCGTACCGAGTTTGGTATGGATTGGTGAAGCGGCTATACAGCATTTCATCATAAGTGGGCGGGGTGAAGCCCCATTTTCCAAAAATTTCATAACAATATTATTTTTTACCACAATTCTACTCCACATACTAATTTTCAACAATTTGCATCAAATATTTACTGAAATATCGCAGTTTTTGCATTTTTTCGAAAATACCGTTATATGGGAAGTGGGCGTGGTTACAGTCCGATTTCGCCCATTTTCAATACCAACATACCTACCTTGGATAAATGGATACCTACATACCAAATTTTTTGCTCGAGTTATCGTGTACACGGACGAACGGACATATAGACATGGCTTAATCGATTTCTCTATTCGTTCTGAGCATTTATATATACATAGGTCTAAATCTATCTCGATTCGTTTTGGCTGTTACAAACAACCGTTATGTGAACAAAGTTAATATACCCTTGTGCACTAGTGCGCTCGGTTATAAACATTTTAGATTTGAATATTTTTGAATTGTTGCAAATGCGTACAAAACAATAAAGCACAGTCAGATTGAGAGATAACTGAGTAATACCCGATACTCAACAAAATACCCGATTTTTAAAGTATCGATGTCGAAGTACTTGAGCATCCAAAGCACTTTCCGATCTGTACAGCACTCGGATGGGTATTGGACCAAACCAACTTTTTTTAAGAGATTGAGTCATAAGTAAAAAAAGTAAGCTCTCCGTTTTTCGAAGTTAGCTTCCGAAATCGAGATATGGGCCTCCGAAGTTCGAAATTGGACCTTTGGTAAAAAATTATTTTTAATTATTGCATGTGAGAAGAAAAAAGACGTAAAAAACACAGACGTGATCCAGATCTTCGAAAAATTAAAAACTTAATACGTCAGAAAATTTTGAACTGTTTTTTAAAAGATTAGTATCGTTGTAAAGGTGATTTAACCCCCTTTCTCGTGATATACATATTTATATACTCGTGAATAAAAATTTTAGAAAAAACACATTTAAAGGGAAATATACCTTTTTTTGTATAAAAAAAATATTTTAAACAAAAAAATTACTCACCGATTTTTAAAAAACTGGCATCGTTGTTAAGGCGATTAAACCCCCTTTCGTCTAATATGCATATTTGTATACTTCGTATATATAAATTCGAGAAAAAACAAATTTTTCATATAAAAAAAAATTTACAAAAAAATGACTTATTAGTAATACAATTAATACCGTATTTAAATAAAACAAATAATTTATAGTTGGGTGGTTCACAAGGTGTCGTACTTGTCGTATTGTTGTATGTTGTAAAGTTTTTAACGGCTAAATAAATGTTTAGAGGACTTGAAATCACCATCAACTATTTTTTAATTGTGTGAAATTTCATAATAAAACTTTTATGTTAGCTTGCGAATTCCTTAAATATAGTTTTAACCGTTTAAAGTTTATGACATACAACAGTACGACAGTATACAACACCTTGTGAACTCCCTAAGTGTTTTAAGCGTTAATTCGTTCTTGTTCACCCACAGCCCTGTTAAAAATAAAGCAAAGTAACAGAAGTCTAAGGCATATAAAAATATAAAAACACCATGATTTTTAATTTTTCACATAACAGGTTATATATGTATAAAAATTAAAGATAGTTTTCTGTTTTATTTAAATAAAGTATTCAATTGTAGTACTAATTAGTATTTTTTTTTAATATTTTTTATATTATTATGGTATTTTTTCCTTTTAAGTATTTTCCTCAAATTTTTTTATACGAAGTATACAAATATGCATATCAGAAGAAAGCGGGTTTAATTGCCTTTACAACGGTACTAGGGATGTCAATTTTCGGGGTTTTGTCGATCCCGAGATTTTCAGGATCTGAAAATACAATCCCGGGATCCCGGGATTGTCCCGAAATTCAGGCAGTTTTATTTTCGTAATTTTTCCTTTTGCCAAAAAGTGCACCACATCTGTGATCATCCTATTATAGTATTTTAAATCAGATTGATATAACAAAAAAAAGTACAATTTATTGTAATTCATTTACATATTTATTAAGGCGATAAATCTGCATTTTCAATCAACAAAAAACAAACATAAAATTTGACAAACATATATGTATGTATGTACATATCCTCATTAATTTATAACATAGTTTTTGTACTACAAGTACAAATGCATATACGGTCACTCACAGAAAAATTTTGCATAGATTTTTTTTGCAATATTCAGAATATTTTTCATGGTATTTTTTTTTGTTAATTTAAAAAAATATATAGATATGTGCAATTTTGAAGTTGCTAAAACAACCCGTTGACTTCGAAGGCCCATATCTCGATTTCGGAGGCTAACTTCGAAAAACGGAGAAATTACTCTTTTACCTATGACTCAATCTCTTAAAAAAAAAAATGGTTTGGTTCAATACCCAGAAAAAAAGATGATTTTGCCGTACAGTGTAGTTGAAACATGGTGGAAGTAAAAACATTAAAATTTAAAAAGTTACTTACGAAGAGAACTAAATAATTCTTTTGCTCTTTCAACAACTACATATGTACATATGTATGTCTGACTCAGAAAGTTTTACAGTACGAGCGCTGGACGGATGGAGAAAAAAACGTAGAAAAAATAGAAATTGTTTTTAATTAAGCGAATTCGAGCTATCACAAGTCGTAACAAATAATTGTTTAACCACTCAAAACATCGAATTGATGGGTCATTGGCCGTACAGTCCTGATTTGGCATCTAATAGCTTCTGTTTCCTCCTGTACTCCGCGATTAACGATTTTCATCGCCAGAACAAGCTTTTGACTCGTTCAAAACCCATGTTTTTGAGAATCATTGCTTATGTAAAAGTGTATATCAGGCGACCCCAGAAACTCCGAGTAACACATTTCAACTGCATCCAATCATTTTACAAATTTTTGTCCGAAATATTAGATTCCAAAAAGGTAACTTATCATCGTAAAGTAAAGATTTTTACCGAATTTCCAAGAATGTAACAGATTTTTTTACCCAAACCAATTTTGGAGAGATGATGAAAGAATTGTGAAAATATATCATAAAAATTCATAATTACATTCCTAATCACCTACCTCCAAAACCCCGAATAACGAGTTTCCAGTTATTTCAATCATTTTCAAAACTTTTGGCTTCACTTAAGAAGGCCTCCCCAAATTATCTTGTGGGGAATTACTCGTTTAAAGTAATATTAATAGTATGCTCGTGCAGTGCACTAGTACATAGTCGCGTTGGCTATTAAAAAAATTTTTGGTGCAGAATTATTTTTATTAGAAAATACATACAGTATCGGCCATATCTATAGCACGCCATTTCAAAGTGATATTGTGTGCTACTTATGCTTATTTATTTATTTTTAAGAATTTTCAATTAAAATACAGTTCTTTCTCCAACAAACCCCATATAAACCCAAGTTTAACAATTTGTAGAAAATTTCAAAAAATTGCCACAAATTTTCACCTAAGTTTCAAACTTTTTTCTCGGAAGTGTTAGAATTTTTTTGAGTACACAGTTTTTTAGCCCCTGTAATTTAAGTCTGATAACGTGCAAATTTCAAATGGCTACGAATTACCGTTTATTTTTTTACAATTTTTTTTGTCGCATTGGCTTCCATATAATGAATAAACTCAATTTATTTGTATATGGAAGAAAACCGCAACACCTTTGGCGAAAAAAATTCTAAAAAATCGACGGTAACCTTTAGTCACTTGAAACTTGCACATTATCAGGCTAAAATTGAAGGGGCTAAAAAACTGTGTACTCAAAAAAATTCTAACACTTCCGAGAAAAAAGTTTGAAATTTAGGTGAAAATTTGTTGTACTTTTTTGAAGTTTTCCACAAATTGTTAAACTTGGGTTTATATGGGGTTCGTTAGAGAAAGAACTGTATTTTAATTGAAAATTCTCAGAAATAAATAAATAAACATAAGTTGCACACAATATCACTTTGAAATGGCGTGCTATAGATATGACCGATACTGTATGTACATACATACATACGTACAGACGTTTTTCGAAATTTCTTTCTAATCTCCCGATTATTTTCTACTCTCTCTCCCTTACGTTCTTAAGCATCGAATGCAAATACAATTACAACAACAACTAATTTAACTGCCACACCCATTGTGATGTCGACGCAAAAATTGCAATTGAAGACGATAAAAACGCCACAGCAGCAGCAGCAGCAGCAACAACAACAACAACATACACGTATAATAAATCAAGTGACGGCGACAGCTGCATCCCAAACGCAAACGCCACATCAAGCGCAGCAGCAGCAACAACAGCAAACGGTTATTATAGGACAGCATGTAGCCACAGCGCAAGCGGCACAGCAGACACAACAACAACAACACATACAACTTGCAGGACGCACCGTAACAACAACGGGTAATGCCAATCTAAATCAACAACTTATTTCGGCAATAGCCAAGGCTGCTAAGCAACAACAACAACAACAACAACAAGCGGCAAATCGACGTAGATCGGCAACAGATGTAAATAAATGAATGTCGCTGAATATGTAATGTATATGATTTAGTAGACAAGTAGTAAGTGGAGCAGCAGTAGCAGCAGCAGCGGTTGGCTGAATTGAGTCAAAAGAGTATAAGTGAGAGAAACTATATAAGCAAAGCAGTATAAGAGAAAAGCAGATATTAATATAATAATAATAATAATAATAATAAAACAGAAAAATTTAAGCATAACCAATTATATTGCAAGAACAAACAAGATACGAAAGTTTAGGCTAAGGTATTATATTATACTTTACCCTAAATAATATGCGTGTAATCCTTACTTCCTACCTTCCCCTCACTAACACATAGCCCCCTCCCCTCCTACATGCATATACGTACATTCTATATGCATGCAAACAATATAATTATCGGCTGCCATACTTGCTAAAGCGCGCACGTCTCTCCCTTCGAACACATACAGACACACACTGTTAACGGCAATCAAAAAAGTATAAACCTTTCAGTTAACGAATTTCACAAAATTCTCTAGGTTGCTTATTAGTAATAAAGCCGGTGAATGCATTGGATTGTACATACAATAATTAAAGATTGATTGGTAAAGTATTTGAAATTGATTTTTTGCAAAAATAAACCTAAACAATTATGAACAATGGAACACATAGACAATTTTGATGAATTCTACACTACATAAGATCAACACTATTGGCGCGCGCGAAGGAACTTGGCATAATACATAATTTTAGTGATATATCTTAAACTAAAAGCGTCCAATTGAAAGCATGTTTATCGAAATTTTATTAAAAAAAAAGAAAACACTCAATTAATTCGTTTAAAAACTCTACCCTAGTCATTACAACCTACAAACATACATATATGTATGTATGTGTATATGTTTGTTATTTAAGTGGCTAAAGTCGTTGTTAGTAGTTATTTATTAAGCACCACATCAAAAACCTAAACAAATTTAACCAAAAACAAAAATAATATTCGCGCTTTTCTCTGAAAGTATGCGGCGTCACTCAACTCTCAAAATGCCTCCTCTTAAAAATAAACTCATTTTGGGCGCCTGGATTTTTTGCTGTATGTATGTACATACCACGTGTAATGTAGCAGTACGAAAAACTCGAATCGAAAGTAAAATTAAGCTAAAAACTAAAATGAAAGATTAAATAACAAAACAAAAAAAGCAAATTGTCGCGCAATCAGTGTAGTGCTGTGTTCTTTTTTCGTCGTCCATCGATGAAAAATGTACTATCTATGTATAAATTTCATAAATCCCCTACATACATATGCATGGGAATGCATAGGTATTGATTTGTATTAACTGCTGGAGTCAAAAAGTTATTTCTGTTGCATTTCTTTCTCTCAATTTCATTTTTTACGAATCGAGCACGATAGGTGCAAGCTCTACAAAATGTATCTGTATTCTACTTTGCTGCTCTAAATTTGTATGCTTTCCTTGTAGAAGAACAAGTTCGTGAAGGATCTAAGAAAGCAGAAAAACATTGCATGTGCATGCGAAAAGCGCCGAAAATAACGCAAAACGCACGACCGCAGCATACTCAATTTTACAATTGCTTAGCAAAAAAAAGATAAAGTGAATCAATCTACATTTTTTGTACATACCCGCAGGCAGTATATATGTAAATATGTATGTATGTATGTATGTATGTATATGCATTCAAGCATACGCCAACAAACATACTCAATTGAATAAGAATATATTTACATATATACATACATACATACATACATACATACATAGTACATATAATAAAGAAATGTTACTCTTTGACTATATTACATCAATCAATTTTTAGCGGAGTTATTATTTATAAAGTTTTTTTTTTCTTAGATTTCGCATTTGAGTACTAACGCTGTGCGAAAAGTGTCACATATACATACATATGCATACGAGTATATGTATGTATCCAGGCACATAGATATTGTACGCTTGTAAAAAAAGAACAGTTATTTCATATGTTACGTTAATTAAATAATAAATTATCTTTAATTATTTAATATTTGGCAATTAATATACAATTAAGCATAAATAATAAATACATTTAATTGAAAACAAAAAACATACAAATACAAATATCAAGCTAAACGAAAACAAAAAATACAAACAAATGCAGCAATAAATTATAAACAAAAACCCAAAATAATAAATAAATATAATTTAGAAAATACAAACAATTATGAAGACTCGCATTTTTCACTCTTTAAGTCGAAAACGTTTTCTTCCCTTCAAGTCGTTATAATTTTCTTTTTGTAGTTGGAAAACGTAACGGTTAATAATTGCATAATATAAATCAAAAAAAAAATCGTGTCTTATGTATATATATGTTTAATACTTTTTTAATTACATCAGAGCAATATTTTTTATTATTTGTAATGCTTGAATGTCTATGAGCCGTTTTCACGATCTCTGGTTAACTCTAATCCCCAGTTAAACATCGTTACCGACACAATGTTATATGCAGGGGGTCTATAATGTCGGTAAAGATGTTTAACTAGGCGTTAGAGTTAACCAGAGATCGTGAAAACGGCCCTAAAAGACTTGCAGTGGTTATCAATACATATGGAACGAAAACCAATATTTAACAAAGGCTGGCCTAGGAAAGTTTTTAAGGTAAAAACTGCGTTTCTCTTGGTTAAGTTTAATATCTCAGTGCTGAAAGCTTATGTAAATGAGACAATGCTTAGATTTTTCAACAAAAATATAGTTTCCATCAAAAAAGTTGAGATAGCAAATAATTCAATGGTCATAACTAGAAGAAAATAAGCTAGAAAAAAGCAATTTTAAGCGCTTAGATAAGCAGTAAAACATTAGTAAATATGCTCGAAAAACAACAACAAACATTTAAGTTCAGTTTAATGTTTTGTTTTTTATTCAGTTTATTTCAGTATTGAAAAGTTACAATGGACAATCAACCAATGTTGCTTGATATTCTCAAATAGCAAAGATCTGCTCTGGTCGTTATAATTTTTTTTTTT